CGTTGGGGGATTATCATGAAACGCAACATTTCTTCGGAAAAGAGGAAGCATTCTTGCTTCTGTACGTTCCAAGCATATCTCCGACTCTAGGCAACCAAGCAGAAGGGGTAGATAGTCTGATCCATTTTTCGGCATATTGATCATAACACAACTTCATAAGAGAAACGGCTCCTTTTGCAGGGATTTCGCGCTACTGCCCCTGCAGCGTAGCCGCCCAGTTCTATTGAACAAAGGTGAACTGATAAATATTCAGGGAGGTCGTCTCACCACTTCAACAAAAGGTAGGATTATATATTCGTTATACTCTTCAGACGCTCCCCTACACTAATGTGCGCAGGCGCGCACACCCATCGTATGCGGTCCCGCATTGAACGCATTGCCAGTGGGCAGATGCTGCGGAGTGCCTAAATTGGAACGACGTTAGCTTCAGTTCTTGGTCTGCACTTAGTTGAGAAGAGGTTTTGGCGTAAGCGTAGAGATCTTCACTGAGGGACGCCGGCTATCTCCGGTATATCCACCAAAAGGACGTGCTGGGCACGCCCACGGTCAGCCGACATCGGTGCTGTCGTCTGTTCAGATTGAGAACCTTGCTCACCTTCGTCTCCATCAGTACCCTCCAAAAGGTTCCACTCTCTCAAAAGTAATAATTCCTAGGGGAAATCTAATCTGTAACAACGTAAAGGGAACAACAACTCCTCAGTGCCTGCCTCCACTGCGGTGAGGTCGTCGGTCGGCATCGACCTGCGCTGGCTGCCTCGAAGGTCCAACAGATCAATTCTTCTGATCCTCGCCTTTCCTGAGACTCCCTGAGCAAAGCTTCTTTCATATTAACCTATTCATTTTTTGCAAAACCTTTTCCAACCAGGGCTCAGACCATTTTTTGCAAAACCTTTTCCAACCAGGGCTCAGACAGGCTGCAGGATGGGGAACACCGCAAGCGCCGACGACAAACCCAAGCGCGTTGCTACCAAGGACCTTCAATGCCACACATACATCAAAACATACAGAGAGGTAAGCAAACTTCTGCGTTTCTTAGGAGGGGCTGCTAAAAGAAAGCAGGTGCAGGTTCTAATTCCGGATGCGGCCGCTAGCAGCTTGTCCGACGACGTGTTGAACCACTCCTGGGGATGTTACTTAGTATTCCGAGCCCGCGAGCACACAGAGGCTTCTGCAGCTGGTATAAAGCTTTCTTTCCTCAATAGGTTGTGCATACCCTAGCCGCTAGCGTCCTTCTTTGCCGGCGACAGAGCTCTCACTGGCAGTGCGGGCGTGAGGCTATGGCAGGATGTGCTGTAAATATGCGAATCCCGGATATGGTCTAAATGTGTAACTCCCAAGTCCCGCATCTTGCTATATGACTTTCTATTGAATGGCTTAGGCTTCAGGGCTAGCCCTAATCCGGTGCCGTGGAACTTGTGCGCACCGCACGTTAAGGGCGCCTTAAGGGTTCGTCCGGTCGTGTGTTTCAGGGCGATGCGGAGCTTCCTGAGGACCCCGACTTCCCGAAGCGTCTTCTAGATCAGACGCGTTCATTTGACTTCTCCAGTAAGCACTTTTCAACACCGTTTCTGCATGGCACCTTATTGCCTCATTAGGTCGCCTCATTGTCAACGGGTAAAGTCTCCTCCCTTACTTGAATTGCGTTTTGCATCCCTGTCAGAGCAAGCTGGGAATGGCCATGGTACGTATATATTCTATCCTAACAAAGACAAGCCAAAGATGTGGGTCGGCCAGTACAAGTGTCTCAATCCTGACGATCTTCTGTGCAACCAAAGCTGCCCTCTGGATGCTTCAGCGCCTGCGCAGTGCGGTGAAGCCGCTGCTGAATTTATAGATCCTGTTGGCTGCAGCTTGATGCAGTACTGCATGCCAGTAAGCAATCCAGCTATACCAGCTTCCACCATTATTGACATAAGATGCCCCTGGCTCGCGGACACTCCCTTCATCAGGCCGTTATGAGTGGCTTGCCTCTAACGCATTCATGATCCCTTGCAGCAACCATGCTTTTCGCTATTCCAGTGGCTTTTTGCGAGTTGTTTGACATGGCTGTGGACTCAGAACACCCCAGGGAAAAACCACGGAACCACTGAACTTCCAGGAGGCACAGCTTATGCTACCGCTTCTTTCACGAATGACGACCAAATGCGTATTGAGCAGGCCCAAGTCAACAACGTGGCACAGCAGGCATATGCCATGGCAACAGGCAACGCATATGCGCACGCAAACTTTGATCAACGTCTCGCGTTTTACCAAAATCTCCACCGAAGCAACCTACCATGCACGCCCGTTGTATCGAGGACATACCAAGGGGCCGAAACCATTAATGCTCCTTATTAACCATGATGAGGCTCCCGAAACCCCAAACTGCCAAGAAAAAGGATTCTCTGGACAGTCGTACAGCATGTATATGGCCTAACGAACAAAAAATACAGGGCTCCGCCACAGCTGACAGAGCCCTGCGCAGTTTTTGGCGGTTGGCTTTCACAGCTTTAGCTGATTTCAGTTTGGATTAACTCTATTGCCAAAAACCTAACTTCACTTGGCCGGCCCCGGAGGTTTCAAACAGAGAGCCTTTGAACTGATGAAGCGGTACGCATAGTG